AACCAAAATAATACAAAATCGATCAGAGCATGTGTAACTCATAACTTTTTACATGCCAACACACTTAATACAACAAATACATACTTTACAGGTTACTTATGATCTGATCTGCTAGTAGAGGTATGTTGTCCTTGTAACTCCTAATTCTGGTCCTTCTGTTTCTTGGTACCTATGTAAACCACTTACACTCTAAGTCACAGACTTAGTGAGGCATAATCAAATATGTAACCATGAAATCATGAAATATACACTACTATTAGTACATCATGACATTTCAATTTGTATGTATCAAATAAACCATAATATATATGATCATGACAAGCACATATGAAATTCTTCTTATGAGAGTTTAATTCAATTTATCTTTAGATGCTTATGTACATTATTGAGAACAGGTGGTACGTGAGTACACTGAGGTTGTGCACAAATACTGTCACCAAAGCCCGAATAAATTCCCACTAGGGGCATTTAAAATTTGTCTCGAATGACCACTTTATCCCGAATGACCACTATGTCCCTCGACTCTTGGCATGCCAATTATACCTACATCTCTCATATCATATAACATGGGCCTAATTATAAGTACATGTCACATTTTCAAATCACTTCTATCATTCTCATATAAACACATCACATTCATATATATGATCCTTTATCTTTTCATATATATCTTAGAATTATCCTCTGATGATTACATTCATCACATATTGTATCATATTGAAGCATGTATGAATTATGCATTTAATTACTATAACCATAATATATATGCATGTACATGAATATGAAATCATGAATTCAACTATAGGAAATAAACTTATCACAAGTCTTATTTTCATATAACTCTATCTAGGGTATGCACTCACCTTGGCTTTGTTAATCCCAAATTCACTTCTATAATTCTATCTCTTAGGATCGATCTGACTCTGTGGTTGTTCCGGAACTTGTTTGTGCTCAATATCTACATGAATATAATCTAATGAATATTGGGATTTGAAATATTCAAAAAGGATTCATACTAACTTAACTAACCAAAATACTAATATCAACTTTCCCAACTTAAGTAATATCAGTACTACAGGCACAATACCGATACTTCAGTTATAGGGTACCGATACCCCCAAGGTACCAATACAAAAATTAGATTCGATATTTTCTCGGTATTGATACCCTCAACCTGGTATCGATACTACTATATTATGGTACCGATACCTACCCTAGGTATCGACACCAAAATTAGGTTCGATGTTTTTGTTTTTAAACATGGTACTGATATTGTCCTTATGGTATCGGTACCCTTGGTATCGATACCACCTTCCAGGTATCGATACCCCATGAATGCCTTTGTTAATTCCAGACTTGAAGTATCGATATTTGTTGAAGCAGTACCGATACCCAAAGCCCATATTTCACTTTTAGAACCCGAACATTCACTCATTCTGACTCAAATTCTTCATATCTTAACCCCTTTAATACTCTTAACTCAAATATACATACCCAAACCAATTCTTATGCCTTTAATACCTCTTTATCTTCAAAATCTCATCATCAAAATGAAAATAAAGAATCATACAAAATTTTCTATATGTTATAATTTCAATTCTAGCACTTCATATCTCTTAGTTCAACTATTGACAAGTCAAATTTAGCTTTCAATCCTACTTATCAACTCTTTTCCAATTTCATTTAAAAATTCCTTATCTTTAATCTCTCCTAACTCCTTTATTCTTTGATCTAAAGTTAACTTAAGCTTTCCTTAAACTTAAGTATCATCCAAGGATCATAACCAACTCTAAAATTCAACAAGAAATTAACTAACAAGGAAACTCACCTCTGCTTTGGCTTGCATGAATGAAGGAAGAAGAAGAAGAGAACTCTGGAAACCTTTTTTTCCTCTTCTACACATCCCACGTGAGGATAATATAACCCTCTCAAAATAATTATCTTGCTATCAAATGATCATTTTTGCCCTTCCATTATTCATTCTTTAATATTTAATCCTACATAAAATTTATAATATAAGTCCCTGAACTATTCAATTTATCTACTTTGGCTAACAAATTTTGAAGTCTTTCAATTTAGTCACTAACCCGGTATTACGGATGTTACACAGATCCTCACGATCAGCATTCTTTGAGAATTACTCATAGGTATCTTTTAATTGTTTAAATAGGTTTATTATTATTCATATTAGGATTCCAATATGGATTTTCTGATTCGTAGGATCTACCCTGCCACTGATCGTGATCGGTAGAGTCAGTAGCTGACTTTCTCAAACTACTCAGACATGTACAGGTGTGTTTCCAGATGGTGTTACATTACTATTTTAAACTGTTCATATGAATTGTTTTATATTTCTGATAATACTGAATATTTTTACGACATGATACCTGATTTTTTTAATATTGTTTATCTTATATATGATTTACTATACATTTTTATATGATTTATGAATTTTGTATTTCTGTATCTGATTTTAATTTCTGAGTCTGGAATATTTTCATGTTTTACTAAATTAAACTATGGTTTTCACTCAAATACATACATGTTTATTACTGTCATTTGGGGTATTACTGGAGGAAGTATCTCAAGCCTAGTCTATGACTTGTAAGCCCTTACCGTAGGCTCCTCGGCTTTGTGCTTAGGGTAAGTCCTTACCGCAAGTCCTTATATTATGTGTATAAGGCCCTTATCGGGTGTACATGTGAGTGCATGGTTCTCAGGAACCTATACATTCTGGTGATCAGATGGGGGTAGTGTTCATATTTTTAAAATATGTTTGATAAACTGATTTTACTGAAGTATTTTATCTATATGTTTTTATACACCGTAAGGAGCACAATAGGCTTTTTAGCTCATTATAAATCTTAACATTTTCAGACAGTAGCAAACTGTAGGCTAGCAGACTTGGCATCAAGAGAATCGAATACTCATATTTTTGTACCATTGTATATCTCTATATGCCTTTTTGTTATACTGTGGTGACACTTGTTTTTGCTACCGTCTCGATATATTTGTATTACCGGTATTTTGTTCTGTATATGTTTTATACAATTTTTTATAACTGATTTCATATTATACTGTTATATGGATTTTAACTTTGTTTTAAATATAAAAAGAAATTTTTGAATAAGATATATAGCTGTCTAGATTTGGGCATAACCTCCGACTGGGACTAGGGATTCCATAAACGCTATCAAACCCGCCACGTGTAGAAATTTGAACTAGCACGTGCCCCTAATCTGGTGGAGATGATCGCTGCACTTCCCGAGTTGGTCGGGAGTCCTTGCTTCCTAAGCTCCGAGCCAAATCGGTCTGAACCGCCTCCGGAATCACGGTCGTGGCGGTAATGTCGAAAGCGCATCAGTGCACGCATATTGCAACTACGGGGAATATTTGTGTTTATTGCACAGATGGACCGGACTCAGATTTTGAGCATACACTATCATATACGGGATATAAACCAACTAGCATGCAATCAATTCGAGCCAGGTAAGTGTTTTAGTTGTTCTTTTTCACTTTGCTTTCTTTGAACTCGTTGATTTTCTGTTTTCACTTTATGTTATGTTTGGGTACTTGGATATGCATAAATTATGAATGAATTAGTTAAGACTCAAACATATATAGATATTGTCAAATTCATAATTAGTATAAGAGTTTCAATTTCTATACTTAATATTTATTTAACAAATCCATGAATTTGAGAAATAATCTTGAATATTATAATTGAATTTTTTTTATCAAAAAATGTGCAGTTTTTTAAATTCGTAATCCAAAATTTGAAATCTGAATTCCCAAATGCTATCTCAAGACACTTTTGAAATTCAAATATATAGTTAGTTTTTTGTTCATTTAAATTAATGGGAGCTGGTTGTTGGCATTGGGTTGAACTAAATGGTGAGTGAAAAGGTCACGTTTTGCATAGTCAAATTGACTTGTAATTTGTTTATTGTTATTACTAGCTTTGGGTGTTAAATTTATTTTAATTTATTAAAATTAGGACTAAATTGATAGAATATATAAATAAAAGTGATCAAATATGTAATTATACCAAATATTTTAACTGTTACATCAGCTTCTCCGTGAAATATTAACTGTAAGTGATTTAATTAAATGCATTAAAATAGTTGAGTGACATGATTGACAAAAATTTAAAAATAGTGATCAAAATAAAAAGAGACAATAATTAGTTGATACGGTTATAGTTTACCCTTTATATTAAATAATTTACCTTTAATTTTAACTAATTTATAATTATTTAAGTCTTTAAAATTTTAAATTTTATAAATTAAATTAATGATATTCATTAATACACGTCGAATATTGTAAAAATTTTCTCAATAAACATAAAAATTTAATTACACTCATACATATATATATATATATATATATATATATATAATATATATATTATACGAAAATTTATCGAACATTATATTCATTTATAGGTATGATTATAAATTTGGACGGTTAAAAAAGGAAGAGAGACATTGGGATGTGGAGTCCAAAAGTAAATAGTGAATGTCACGTTTCTGTGGGAATCTTTCCTCCACCTTTTCGACAATACCAAAAGGAAAAGGGAACTGAGTTTCCAATAACACCTGTCTTACCGTTTGCTTGGAAGTTGCTTCCCCCCCCCCCCCCCAAATATTCTTTATTTTATGTGGTTCAAATTTCAAGGCATCCTATATATATAAATATATATTCTTTTCATATCAAATATGAATCAATATTAATTAAATATAATTTTAAGCATATTTGTTGTAATTAATTCACCTTTCAAATATTTTTCATGTTTATAATGAGAACTTAAAGAAGGTGTTGTAATGAATGAGGGAACGAAGGTGGCAGTAGTCAAGACAAATCTCTGCCTTTGGCATTTTATCAGATACAAGAAACCTGGAAGGAACCCCTTGGAAAATGGGATTGGACTCAAGCTTATATTCTCAAAAAACACGATATAATTCTAATAAAAAACAAATTTCATCTCTCTTTTTTTTCTTCCCTATTCTCCCTGCAACGCACATATTCCATTTTCTCATTTTAAAAAAAATACATTATCCTTTTGAATTTTCCAGGAAAATTCCTGCACCTTGAATTCATTTCCCTTGATAAGTCCCCTGCTTTCAAGTTTTCTCCTCTAGTTTTGTTTGTGCATGAAAGTTCTTCCCTTTTTAGCTGAAGCTGAGTGCTCGGGGATTGTTTTGTTTCTCTCTCAACTGGGATTTCTTAATACTTTCTCTTTTCTATTTCCATTTGGTATCTGGGTTTTAATGGTTTTAGGTGCCTAAGATCTTTTTATTTCATATCTGCTGCATTTGAACTGGTTTTTTCCAATCTTTCTTCATAGTGAAAATTGTCGAAAGTTAAAGGTCTCTTTAGTAATTAGATTCATCCTTGGTGGGAGGTTGTTTGTGGTTTTAGCTTCTGGGGCTGAACTTTTATCTTGTATAACAAGTTATTTCATATCTGGTGTGTTCGAACTGGTTTTTTGAATCTTTCTTCGTACTGAAAGTTGTCAAAAGTTTGTGATTTCTTCTTGTTGTTTCATTTGATTTGTTTGCGAGGTTTCTAGTTCTAGTTCGAGTTATTTTCTTTTTGTTGGATTTGCAATGGGGAAGCACGGAGGAAAGAACAAAAAGCTGACAGGACAAACTGGTGATAATAATATGAAGCAAAACAAGGTCGGAGACAATCGGTTAAAATCGTATGATTCCGACACGGCGGTTTTCATCACCATGTCTCGAGAACTGAAGGAAGAGGGGAAAATACTGTTTCAGAAAAGGGACCTTGAAGGAGCAATCATGATATATGAGAAGGCCCTCAAATTGCTTCCCAAGAATCACATAGATATATGCCATCTTAGGACCAATATTGCTGCATGTTATATGCAGATGGGGTTGAGTGAGTACCACAAGGCAATCCATGAGTGTAATTTGGCCCTAGAGGTAACACCAAAGTATAGTAAAGCACTCGTAAAACGATCGAGGTGTTTTGAGTCTCTGGATCGGCTGGATTTGGCTTTCAGAGATGTTAATGCAATTCTTAACATGGAGCCTAGTAATACTATGGCATTAGAGATTTCAGAAAGAGTAAGAAGTTCACTTGAGAAACAAGGCGTACCGGTTGAATTACATCTTGAATCCATCGAGCCTCATAGTTCTTCAAAAGTTCTCGTCAAAGACGAAACGAAGAAGAAGATCAGCGAGGTTGAAGAATACGTTGAACCGCCAAGTGCTTTGCAGGCTTCAAAAGTTGTCAAAACCGAGAAGATGATCAGTGAAGCACAAGATGACATGGTTATGGATCAAATCGAGGTGAAGAAGGTTGATGAGCATGTGGAGGAAAAGAAGGCTGAGGATAAATATGTTGAACCACCAACGCATCACAAACTTCAAAAGTTGTAGAAGAGAAAACCAAGAAGAAGAAGATCAATGAAGCTCAAGATGACAAGGTTGTGGATCGAATCGAGGAGAAGAAGGTTGATGAAAACGTAGAGGAAAAGAAGGCTGAGGATAAACAGGTTGTTGAGGAGAAAATCAGCAGTAAAGTGGAAGTACCAAAGAAGAGTGTGAAGTTGATTTTGGGTGAAGATATAAGATGGGCTCAGTTGCCACTTAATTGCAGCCTTGTGCAACTAAGGGAAGTCATTCGCGATCGATTTCCTAGCTCGAGAGCGGTACTTGTCAAATACAGAGATGAAGAAGGTGATTTAGTCACAATCACCAGTGATGAAGAGTTGAGATTGGCTGAAATAGCAGCTGGATCACAGGGTTCTGTGAGGCTGTATGTTGTGGAAGTCGATTCCAAGCAGGATCCGTTCTTCGAGAGATTTAATCGCAACGGAGTTCAGAATGTTGAGATTAAACAAGGTAAGGCTGCTGAAAATGGTGATGCTAGAAAGGTCATGGAAAACGGAAAAGACTCATGTTTCATCGATGACTGGATAATCGAGTTTGCTCAACTATTCAAGAACCATGTTGGCTTTGATTTAGATGCATACTTGAATCTTCATGAGCTTGGTATAAAGCAATATTCCGAGGCCATGGAGGACACAGTTACAAGTGAAGAGGCCCAGAACCTTTTCAACATGGCAGCTGAGAAATTCCAAGAGATGACAGCATTAGCGTTGTTCAACTGGGGGAACATTCACATGTCCCGAGCTACGAAGAGGGTCCACGTCGCCGAAGATGGTTCCAGAGAATCCATACTCGAGCAGATCAAAACGGCCTACAATTATGCACAATTAGAATACATCAAAGCTGGTAAGAGATATGAGGAAGCACTGAGAGTAAAACCAGATTTCTATGAAGCACATCTGGCTCTCGGGCAACAACAGTTTGAGCAGGCGAAACTTTATTGGCATTTAGCGATCACAAACAACATTGAGCCGGAAACATGGCCTTCTGAGAAGGTCCTGCACCTCTATAACAACGCCGAGGAAAATATGGAGACGGGTATGCAGATGTGGGAGGAGTCGCAAAGGCAGCGCCTGCGTGAACTTCCCGACTCGAAGAACGAACAAAATCAGTTGAAGAAAACCGGATCGCACGGTTTATTCCAAGATATATCAACAGATGAAGCTGCAGAGCAGGCAATCAACTTGAGTGCTCAGATAAACCTGTTATGGGGTACCATTCTTTATGAACGTTCAATCATGGAATTCAAACTAGGGCTCCCTATCTGGCATGAATGTCTGGAGGTTGCTATTGAGAAATTTGAGCATGCTGGAGTTTCTCCAACAGATATAACTGTTATGGTAAAGAACCATTGTTCGAATAACATCGCACCGGAAGGTAATATAGTTAGAAATTCACAACTTTGTGTCATCAGCTGACATCTGCATAAACCTTTAAAGCATATCTTTTGTCACTTGCAGGCTTAGGGTTTAAGATTGACGAGATAACACAGGCATGGAATGAGATGTATGAAGCTAAAAAGTGGAAGAACAAGATTCGGTCGTGTCGACTAGAACCATTACTTAGACGGCGTGTTTCGAAAATTTATCATGCATTGGAGCATGCATGAGTTGCATGTTGTTTGAGTGGCATCTTCCAGGATACCAGTTTGTCAAAAGACATATCTAACTTCATGTTATTTGAAGTGAGATATGCAGTATTGCATTATAGTTAGGTAAGTTGGTTCTTTCTTTAGTTAAAGAAAAAAGACTGATGAAATTTTCAAGTTAATCAAATAGATGTTTTAGCTTCTATTCTTTTTTCTCTCTAACATTTTGACCCTTAATATTTCATTTTAAGACAAAAATGCGCCTAACGTTTGACTAGATAGTTACTTTAGCCTTTATTCTTTTTTCCAGACATTTTGGTCCTCGATATTTCATTTTAAGGCAAAAAAACTCTTTATTTTAGAGCGTTAACAGTTTGTTAGTTAACGTTTCCCTCTATAGATTCCACATAGGGGCTTTTTCCTCTAAAATAAAACATCATAGGCCAAAATTCTCCACATAAAAGAATAAAAATCAAAATAATTATTTGATCAAACATTACAGACTTTTTCATCATTATGCCTTTGCTAAACAGTTTGTGACATTCAGTTACATGTTTATTCACCTCCCTTACCATGTTTTCAGAAAATTGTATGCAGTTATTTCCAGGAATAACATAGGATCATCCCTTGTGCAGGGTCGTTTTTTCTGCTATTGCCTTTTACATCAAACATCAACCTTTCAGATTCAAAGGAAACTACTGGATTCATGAAAGTTGTGATTCCCTTTCAAGAAATTAGGTTATCAATACATGTTTGGGAATGACTTGAAGCAGCATCAGCAGGGATCTAATGTTTTTTTGTTGGTTTCTGCTTTGGCCTTCTTCAGTTCCCCCCAACCTCAGAGAAGTATAAAATATATGCTGGATTCATTATTAAATTGCAGTAATTTATAGTTTGTTTTCCAGATTTATTTTTTAAGTTTCTTCTGTTTTTAAAAACTCGGTAGTTTTATTAAGAACTTTAAGAAGACAATTCTGTATTCGGTTGATGATGATCCTAGTTTTTCTTCTTGTATTACAAAAGCAGCTTTTTACGTTTCAATATACACACTTATTTAGTAGTTGAGACAGCTAACCCCATCTGATAGCAGCTATACAATTACAGCATACGTTGCACTTTTCCTCCCCAGGCTTTTATTCCGGTCGGAAGCTCACAAGGTTGTGGAGGGCGGTTGACTGAAGCTTCTTAATTTCGGCGACTCCAAAGATAATGACAGTAAATTCTTTAGAGGCTTTAAATACGGCAAACCATCATTACTTATGTTGGAATTCGAAACATTTAACGACACCAATGCGGTCAGTCCTGCATTCAGAAAACAATCCAAGATTCATCATCATCAGGACGCGGTGATTTCATCAGAGAACACGGAAAACGACTAGAATATTTTCATATTCAGTAGCCACTAATAGCAGTACCCAAGTCAGCTCTCAGTTAATCAATTTTCAGTCCTACCATTCTATATAAAGACTTAGACATATTTAGTTATTACAAGCCCGCTTATTATAATCCACTAGACTGCAATGAAAATGCTGCAAATTACTGATCCTCTTGCAGAATGCCGGGCGACTCTCCTAGTATACATCTCTGTATCAGTTTCCGTACGAACACGATAATGTTCGTTCTAGAAACGGGGCAAAGAAGACCAACACTAAACAACACCGCAAAATCCAAAGTAGAAGCAAAATATACCTGAAATCAACTCCAAGGATTTGTTTGAGGTTGCAGTTTTGTGAAAGGTTCGGTAGCGTTAAGGAGCGGAGATCTTTGATATTTTTCACACCGACGTCAGTTAAACCCCCTCCGCATATTTCGAGGGATTGGAGGTTCTTGAAGCCTGTTTTAGCATGAAAATGGAAGGTGTAAGAATATTTTTAACACATTAAAACTGTGTGAAAAGTCTACAATGAAATTGAGAGATGATAAGAACTCTACCATTGAAGATATACAGCACAATACATTCACTGAAGGAATTTCTATTTCTCATTTACCCTGAACTCTCTAAATTATATATGTATATCCAAATTATATTCAATCCTCATGAGCCAATGAGCAAAACAAAACAATAAAGTTTTCGACGTAAGCAAAATAAGAACATCTAGGAAAACATAGGTTAAGGGCTACAATGATCATGCAACTTTACATTATTAATTACTTAAGCCATGGCAATACTTTTAACGTACATCGCAAATAATTTGTTCCAATGTCTGAAATCCTAGCCCCAAAGAGATCTAGATGCACCAGTCCAGTCAAACCTGCATCGGCAAAGTTAAAATGAAAAGTGAGGATTTATATGCATCCTTAAAACATCACACGATGGGAAGAGATAGAGAGAGAAAAGCAATAGCTAGAGATTGAGATCAGCAATTTGGAGCCACTTTGACTTTGCTTTGGGAAAATAAATCAAGTCAATAAGACATCTTTGTGCAGCAATAATTGGTATGACATTCTTAATGAACACAGAAAGATACACCATCCTAACTGGTGAATAACACTACAAAATTGGTCCCATAGACATAGATAACTTGGTATAAGAAATATGCCATCTTAAAACTAAAAAGAACTGTAGACTTTGCAGTATACCGAGAAGCATGAAGGGGGTTTTTAACGAGACCTCCAATTCTTAAAAAAAAAAAAGAACGGATTGAAACCATGGGAATTTTAAAGTCACTTGTTATTCTTTCCAAGTAAAGTTATAACGAAGGATCTGTTTAAAAACCTTTGAAGTTTTATTATTTTATTATAATCTATTTATCTAAAGTGGAGATATTTTCGCATATACGGATACGATCATAGGTGAAAGCTCTATGATTCCAAACATGGCTATCTTGTAATAGTACAAGGCAAGAAACAGGGGTAGACATCCTAGTAAACGTAAAAATCAAGAGAGAAAAAACTCATCCGTTTACAACATAAAGACCAGCAAAAAGATTTCTGCTTCAACAGAAGATACAAAATCTAGTTCCAAAACTCATGAATAGGAGCACACAAGAAATGACACCTACTTCATACTTGGACACATAAATAAGGATGGTACAAAAGAAAAGTGAAAATACTAACTTATCAAAGCCGAAAGCCCCACATCTGTAATTTGGCGAGCATCCAAATTAAGTGACTTAAGAGCTGTCAATCCAGACAACTTTTTTAGACCACTATCAGTCACTAAAGTGAATGACAGATTCAAGGTCTCCAGATGAGTCAAACCTAATAAATGAAGAAACAAGTCAGCATCATGTATTCACATTCTAATGCAGTGAATATTTCAGAAAATAGGTATTTTTTAGTATCATTCACGAATCAACCACTACAAAGACATGGCTGCCCCAAAATCTGTAATGAATTCTATCCACTGATATAAATTCAAGTATTCAACCTGCTTTCAGTGTCATCGTGTAAGCCATAGATTCACTTCAATGAACAAATGAAAGTAGGAAAAAGTTTTCATTTCTCCTTCAAATTATCATCATATGCAGAAGGCAATAGTAATGGAGCAGAGCAATATACTCAAAGAAATCCAGATAAAATAAACATTTCAAGTGTGTTAAAGTGCGCACACACATATATGAAAATATAACTCTGACCATATAAAATAGATGCTCTAACATTCACCATTTAGGAATTTTCATTCAATTAGTAACCAAAAAAAATTGATAAAAAATCGAATTCCACTGTTATTTTCATTCAAAATTTAGCTATACTTTGAAGTATTTTATTGTTGTCATACTTTAACTATCGAAATAGTTAATATATATTTCAATTATGTGCAACAATCGGAATAGTATTACTTTCCATTAATTACATGAAATAAAATACATTATTTAATGAATTAAAAAAGGGAACACGTAAAATCACATGCAACACATGACATTAGGAACTTGTTACTCATAAAAAGGACTTGACAATTAAGAAAGCATCTTAAAGGAACCTGCAAACAGTGTTCCTTATGAAGCACATCTAACAGGAAGATATCATTGAACTCAAATGATAAGAGAGATTATTAACCAGAGAGGTGTCGTAGCCCATTGCTTCCGACTTCAGTGTGAACAACTCTAGACTTTTGAGGAGTGACAGGCCTGAAAATAAAATCACAATATAAAACTCGGTCATGAAAATTTTCAAAGCAAAGGGAGATCCTCCAATAGTTTAACTAGTGTGAAATGAAACATGATATGTAAACCTGTCAAATGAGCAAGGCCTTCATCCCCAACTTTACATGAATCTAAATTTAGGCTCTCCAAATTTGTTAAACCTGGCAAGAAAAGATATACCAGATCAACAAATTTTACACTGCTTCAAAGTCACCAAAATCACATACATAAAATAAACCAGAAATCAGTTGGCGATTATTTTCAGATTTTTTAAACTTTACCAACGATGCTTTCAAAGAAATATATATCACCTCACTACCACTATTATTAACTATCAGATAGTGATCTCAAGTCAATGGCATAGTAATTTTCAAAATCAAAAGCATAATATAAAATTTGCAAATACCATCATTACAGTTTCATAGGATAGTTTTACCATAATGAACCAGGTACCAAATCAACAGCAACAAGCTCTAACAATAGGAAAGTCTCAATCACCATATTTTATGTGAAGTCACAGTGCAATTCAATAAGACAAACTAGAAAATTTCATTAACTCACACAAACTCTAATGGTTGCTCAAGGCACAAAAAAAAAAACGGAGAGAGAATGCAGATTGTCCCCTGCCAATACAAGTCGAACAAAAGGACCACAACGCAGTGGCAACTGTTGTTGGGGGGGGAAGAGAGAGAGAGAGAGAACCTTTTAGGTGCACTAAGCATGCATCTGTTATATCGTTAAATGCCAGGTTCAATACCTTCAAATTCTTAAGTCCTGCAAATGGTAGTAAATACTTATATTGTAAACATTCCAACTATACTTAGCAATGTAGTAGTTCTACACTATGTTTCAGGAATCAAAGGATTAAAAGAATTCAAACACAACTAACCAGAAAACTTGTCGCATCCATCATCAGTTAGGCCACATCTTCCAAGATTTAAGTATGCCAAAGCGACAAGAGCTGCACATAGAATAAATAATTTTTAGTATAAACCGAACATGATACATGATATATGTTCTCTGATATCTAGTTAAATAACATATTACAATTCCAATCCCCCCTTCACATGGGGAAGAAGCTTAAGACATTACGCCCACAATACTAGTTTCCCCTGTGAACTACATATCACTACATCTGAAGGCACAACCATGTTCAATGTATAACATCTACAAATGTACAATTATATTATCAATGGAGATAAGTAAGGAGAACATACCTGAGATGGAATCCAAGCATGCAGCAGTAACATTACATCCCTCCAGATTCAACATATTAAGCTTGTGCAAACCTGCCGTGGAAAGTACATAACATAATATGTTTATTTCTTTATGTCATCTGATCTTATTAAGATAATAGATTATTAGTAATAACAAGTAACATGGCACAATGGGAAAGAAGATTAAAATGCCATCACTAGGAGACCCTGAAGATGATGACCTAAAAGGTAAGATGTATGAATCATGCGACATTCAGTGTGTTAGGAACTGAAACCAAGAACAATGAATATAAACGAAGAGAAGTCATATCCCTTTTATATAGCACAATTGACAACAGTTGTTTCCACCATGCAAAAGAGAAGGTAGATAAATACCTCCCAAATAAGAAAAACATAAATCCATAACCAAAATTTTACCACTCTTTGTTAGCTTGAAAAATGTCCAAAATTACCCGATATAGCCTTCAAGTCCAAATCAGTAATACATTTACAGCATCTGATATTAAGAGACTCAAGTTTGGTAAACCTGAAAAAAGGGTAAAAATGACAGCTTCTGAGAAAATAATTTCTGGAGAAGAAGTTGCAATAACTGGCTGACATAGGAACTCACACTAAAACTTCTGTAATTCATAAAACTAGTTGACTCTCCACATCTTTTAGACATAATGGTCATATTTTAATGCAACATGAGACTGGATCCTGGTTTAGTTTATCTACCAGTTCACCCCTCATTCTTCCCAATATATGACATATAAACATCATAAGGGTGTATTTCAATTTTCTCAAGTTCTCCGTAATGTAAAAATATCAATTCAAATATACATGAAACAGTTTTCCTTTTGAAGGTGCTAGTTCTACAGTTGCATAGAACCCAAGCATTCTAAGGTCTCATAAGGATTCATTCTCAACAGACCTTTAATATGTACAAATCCACCATGAATCCCTGTGCACCTCTCCAGGTCCAGCTTTTCCAAGTTAATTAAGTTGGAAAAGACACGCATCCCTTCAGCCGTAATTG